GCTGTTAAATAACCATGATTGGATACCGCAAGAAAGCAGTCGGGGGTGTTGTGGAATCTGATTGTTGTCGGAATCAGAATTGAAAGCGATCAAAAAAAGCAGTAGGTGTCATGAATTCCAATATTATTGGTTAGATGTTCGAAACAGAATTTGTATCGGTTTTGGGTGTCACGGAAACCAATTTTATAGGTTTTGCTATCAGAAACAAATCAAGAAGATAGTCGCACACAGATTTGAAATGTAAGTTAAGAAATCAAGTTATTTGATTGTTACGAAACAAACACGAAAAGTCTTAATTATTGAGTTTTGGAAAAAATTCGGATATTTAAGGGGGAACTTGCTTTTTTGTTGGGAGGGAGAGGGAAGGATAAAGAGAAATGTCTAGGGCTTATAGTTTTATATTTTAACATCGCCCGGAAGTTGTTTGGATGCGAATTCTTTGATATTCTGCCTTAGGGAAGCAATTGCCCGGACGGCGAGCAGTATGCAGGACGCAATTTCTATGGCAAGCAAAAAATTTAAAAATATTCATTTTTTTTTAAAACGTATGTTCAAGTTAAACTATGAAAATTTCAAAAAAGTCTAAAAATCTAAAATTTCTAAAAATTTAAAAAAAGTGGTGTTTGACTAAAAAAATGTTAATTTATGTTGTTTAAACGTATGTTCAAATTCAAATTTTCTTAGTATATTTCAGTTTTTAAATAGAAGATAATTTAATGTCAAAGATAATAAACTTTGCCCCAATTTCATACGAGGTTTAGTTTCTTTTTACCCTGGCCGCCAGTTAAGAAAAATCGTAAAACTGAAAAACCCAGAAATCGCGCGTCAAAGTTTTCGCTTTCTGTCCAAGCGTTCATATATGTACATATGTATGTATGTATCTGCTAGACGCTCGGTCACTATTTCCCTTCTAGCTTCGACAATATTTCGAGTTCCCATCTATAACTTTGGGGTAATATTCTTAGATAATTTTTAAAAAAATTTAAGCAAAGAAGAATTCAATTTGTTAAAACTTCTAAAGCAGGCTACCCCCCTAAAGAAAATTTACAAAACGTAATAAAAGTAAATTAAAATCCAAAAGCGTCTTCGTCATTCGATAAATGTTATCTGTTCAAATCTTCCTTTAATGCGGAACTTATTTTTATCTTTAATATAATATTTCAATTGTATTCATTTGCAAGTTTTAGTAAACAGCTGATTCGAATACTGGTTTTCCGTATGTTCGAAAACATGAAAATCCAATCAGATTCTGTGACACCATTTAAAATCAGAATTGGTTTGCAGTTCTGACAGCTAAGCAATTCTGTCTTGGATTCCACAACACCCCTGAGTAAACATAAGAACCCAAGCTGTACTCAATGGAAACAAGAAATTCATAGTGTTACTTTAGATTAGATTAACTATGACAAACTGAGTGAAAATCATATTGCATGTCGTTTACTTGGCTAGGAAGGTGAATTGGACTCAACGCTAAAACGGTTGAGAGGAGTTCAGAGCAACATTGCTGCTAAAAAGTATACGCGAACTTACCTTTGACTGGTTCACTTACGAATCTATTTAATTCTATTTCAAATAGGCGAAGGAGGATAAACTATGACCAAAACGTGTTCTTCTAATAACGGGGTGCATCTTTGTGCCTAAAATGGATAAAACTGGGTGCTACTGGATTTAAATTACGAAATAAAAATGCAAAGCTCTTTCTTTTTACTTAATTTTTTTCATTTTAACCAGTTTATTTATTAAATTTATCTTTTCTGCACACTCTGTGTAACTGCATTACATACCAGGAGGTATGCATTCTTCTATGTGATTTTTGTTTTTGTTTTTTATAATGCGCAATCGCACAAATGAGCACAACACGCTCCTAGTGTTATTGTTGCGGCAAATTTTAATGCAATTTCGTCATTTGATTTTATTAATATTTATTTTCATCATTTTCTTACCGTACAATATATATATATATATAATAATATATTATAAGCATATACATATGTATATGTGTGTATGTGTAGGTGATAAATTTCAATTAAAAATTTTGGAATTTTATGCTTTTCCGCTCGCACTGTTGCGCGCTACGCTCGCCACTGCGCCTACGACTTGACAGCGTTTACCAAACATTTTACCGTTAAACGCGCGCTCCTTAGTAGATTACATTCGTTTAAATATGTATATATAGATTATAATACACATCTAGATGTGTATAAGAGACAGATATATTTGTGTGTTTTTTTTACTATAAAAAAAAAATGGTATTTTGTAGATCAATAATATTAGTTAATAATTTCGCTTGTTTCACACGAACGACGTGCCACACCCATCAGTAGGGCTGAACTTAAGCTTATTTTGCGAAATATTTATAATTAAATTAGGTGCGAACGTAAAGCGTGGCGCGCATGCGCACTGAAGACACTCAAGAGCATAAGCATAAATAACCGTTACTTCCTCACGTACAAAAAAATCATAACTTAAACGCTAATTAAACTTAATTACATACATACTTAAACGTTTTATAGTACAAATTATGGTAAATTATACACTCTCTTTACTTTCTTTACTTTTTACAGTTATACACTTGCGTTCATTTGTAGTTTTGGCGCGGGGTTGGGGCTACATATGTATGTATTGTATATAAATTACAGATGTGGTAGTGACAATTTGCAGTGTGTTACTTAAGAGGTCTGACTTATGTATTACATATGTTTATAGTTATATAATTATTTACTGTTATATCATTCATTTAACTGCGCTGCTGATTTATCTAACTGTTGTATGTATGAGTGTGTTTGCTAGTTACTTTCCGCTAAATTAGTGTACAAATTACATGGGGTTTAACAGAGAATTTAAGCGCCTTCCGATTAACATAGCAGAGCATAGTAATAATAATACATACAAACACAACTTGCTTTGCTTTTGAGCTAGTGCTTATTCTAGCGCTTTGTTGTTGTTAGTTTTGTTATATTTTCGCTTTGTTTTACATATATATTTCACAACATATTTTCGCTTTGTTTAAACTAAACTCACTTACAGTTAGTTACATATACTTATATACTCGCATATACATATGTATGCACACATACACATATATATTTATATAATTACGAAAAATAAGGCGGAAATTAGAAGCTAATTAATGTCACTAATAATAAATGATTATTACATATTGATTTATTTAGCTTTAAAGGAAACTGTACAAAGGCTCGCTAGAGAGTTATAACGGAAATCATTGACGAGAAATTTTTAAATTAAAAATTAAAGCAAAGAAATTATGAAAAATTAAAGCTGCCTTTTATACTATAAAAATAATAATTACAAAAAATTTGAAATAGTAAATA